CCAGAGTTTGCTAGAGAAGGGTCCACGTTCTATGTCACAAACTTCAGTAGCCAAAAACTATATTCAGAGGCATATTTTATGCCATGGTCTTGAAAAAAGACTGCCCCTAAGGATGTGGACACGTGGCTCCCCATCTTCCATAATTCAACAATACTCTGGGACTAGACTGGGAATAAAGAAAACAAACTCAAAGATCACTGATGTAGTCCAAACAATCTCTCAGAACATGCCTGTCATGCCTCTCTCATATTCAGGGGTCCAGATTCCCACCTTAGTAAAGTCAGAGTCTGCTCTTAGGATATTTTACAATAGAGAAGATACTATTCCCGTGGAAGAGAATAAAAACTCACAGAGTGATTCACAGACAAGGATTTTTGAGTCCCAACACTCCCTCAAGTCAACTTATCCTTCCAAAGTCAAGGCTGACTTCTCAGAACAGTTCCACATGCTAAAAGATCTGCAGCTAAAAATAGCAGCAAAACTCTTAAGGAGTCAAATACCCCATAATGTCCCTCCACCTCTAGGTTCAGGTCTTGTCCTAAAATATCCTATCTGCTTGCAGTGTGGCCGGTGCTCAGGATTTAATTGCTGTCATAAATCACAGTCTACTTTGGGGTCTTATCTTCTTATCTACCCACAACTCCACCTTTCAAGCACTCCCGAAGGCCAGGGTGAGCTTCGGTTGCATCTTGGCTTTAGATTGCGAATGGGGAAGAAGGTCACTGTATCACCATCACAAAGGAAAGCTAAAATCTATAATTCAGTTTCCAAGAATCCTCCTCCTTCAAGATATTTCCAGTCTGGATCTTCCCAGTCCCCACCTTCTGCACAAGTCCACATTAGGCAAAAGCATGGTGTGGTAGGAAAGAGAGAAATCAAAGAGTCTGGGCACTATGAATTCTGTCAAGTTCATCCCTTATCAGAGAGTGGCTTTGAACGTAATCGGGATGACAGATGGGCAAAAGTGCGCATCAAAAAGAGCTCTGACTTGAAATATCCAATGAAGAGAGTCACCAAGGGACTCAGAACACAAAACACAAAGCTCTCCAAAGACAGTACTGGAGAACTGCCAGACCCTTTAAGAAGGAAGAATATTGAAATAACTCAAACAAGTACTGCTTCCTCAAAAAGGCAACCTAAGAAATCTTCCCAGCCCAGGTTCATGCAGCTGCTTTTCCAGGGTCTGAGGCAGGCATTCCAATCGGCATATAGAATGGTAGCAGCTACTGGACAAAAGTCTAAGCCAGACAATTTGTTGTCAAGCAGAAACTACCATCCAAATCCAAAAGTCAAGGATTATCACTTACCAGGAAATAGCAACCTGCCAGCTCCAACCACTAAGCAAGAGGACCTATTACAGGGAACAAGTGACAAATGCAGAAAAGCTCAACAGCCAAAAAGAGCAAGTGCTTCCCAACCCAGAGTTCTCCAAGTGCCCGAGACCATAGTCTCTGAAACAGACATCACTATACAAACGACCTCAAGCCTACAGCCTTTGAGTGTAGTTCAAAATGTCCACAGGAGAACAGTTAAAAACTTTTGTAGTGACGAAATCTCCGGCCTAGAGCCCAAGAACATTCTCAAACCAGGAGCCAAATTTCAGGCCCAAGAGAGAATTCTACCAGGTTCCCTTTTGGAGAAAACCCTACACTTTACAGATGGACACACACACAAAGAAGGGAACCAGCACAGCTTGTACAGGGGGGAGAGCCCTCTGCACCCAACTTTCTGAAAGGAGCCATCGAACTCCCCCTGGGAGGAGACACCGAAGTCCCTCGGGGAGAAAGCATGGCAGTTCCTCTGAGAGAATCCTTAGAAGTCGCTCTGAGGGGCGCCATCACAGTCCCTCCACGAGGAGACCACCCAGGTCCTCTGGGAGGAGCCCTCGCAGTCCCTCCGAGAGGAAACGACACAAGGGCCCACACAGTCATTCCCACAGGCGCCAGCACAGTCATGAGAGAAGTCCCAGTCCCTCAAAAAGGAGCCATCTCAGTCGCAAATGGAGGCCAAGTTACAGCCCCTCAGACAAGAGCCATGGCAGTCTCGCTGACAGAACCTTTTCCAGTCCCTTTGGCATGAGAAGACACAGTTCCTCTGGAAGAAGCCACCACAGTCCCTCTAGGCGGAAGTCGCACAGGTCCTCTGGGAAGATCCATCGCAGCCACTCTCAGAGAACTCATTACAGCCCTTCCGAGAGGGGTCAGCGCTATCACTCCGAGAGGCACTCACACAGTCCCAAGGAGAGGCTTCAGCACTGTTCCCCGCAGGAAAGGTCCAGGCACAGTTTGTCCAAACAGCTCAAGACTTATTTTAGTATGCCTCCTAGGGATCACAGTAAGAAATCCAAAAGCTGGGCACGTTCAGAGGCCTGAAGTTAGTAGATCAGGGGAGATATGCCCCTATTAGAGAGATCTCAAGTCTTCACCTAGCTGCCCCTTCCTGCCTTCTTTCCTGCTCAGCCACTGCCTCCAGGTGTGCACCCCCAGCCATGAAAGGGCTTGACCTGGGGAGAAGGGTGAGAAGGGGTCTGTAATTTCGCCAAGATCAATAAAGGGGCAATGAATGAACTCTGCATCTATGAGACCGCTGGTGTGGTGGGTGGGTGGGACTCCGGGTGCTGCAAAGCCGTTCTACGGCCGAGTGACATCCCTTGCCTCCGCCCATTGGCTCCAACCCTCCCCTGGACCCTCATCCGCGGCCCCCGTTGCGACGGGCCGGCGGGGTCTGCAAGGAATCAGATGGTGACTCATCACGTGACTTTTCCCAGCCGCAGCCCTCCCCACTCCCCTCTCCCGGCTCCTCGGAAACTGCTAGGCGGAAGTAGACGTTCTGAACAGGGCTAGGCGGCGCCGAGACCACATCCGGAAGAGGCGAGGAGAGCGGAAGTGGCGTTGGTCTGGCCGGAGCCCTTGGGTGAAATTGTTAGGCGTGGAGGGGGAGTGATGTCTTCCAGACTCGGTGCAGTCCCCGCCGTGAGTTTCTGGGTGTGACCGTTATGTTTTAGAGGTAGAGCTGTCGAGCCGGGAACACGCGGTCCCTTGCTTTTGTCCCATCCTCAGAGTTGGTGTTAGCGGAGCCCATCGTAGGCCCCACCCTTTTATAGCAGATCCACCTGCCCCCCCTTTCCTCTTCCCACTTTTTTTTTTTTTTTTTTTCTTTTTATTAAAGATCTTGCCTTTTAAAATGGCCAAAGCCAGATATACAGTATTGAGCTGCTCCCAACTGCCTGTTTGTTTTTTTTTTTTTTTTTTGTTTTTTTTTTTTTTTTTTTTTTTTTGTCTCCCTTTTCGAGCCTCCATCTAGGATAGGGCTTTGAGAATGAGCAAAGATGAAAGCTCTGGTATTGCCAACTTGCCTTTACGTTGTAGGAAAATAGGATGGCACACTTTTCCTAAAAAGTGTTGCCTTCTTTCCATTTGAGGTAGTTGTCCTGGGAGAGCCTCTAGTCTTCTAGGCGCAAGGGGGATTCATCTCTTTGTGGAGGAGGGTCAGAGGTCCCTAGCACTCACTCGTGTGCTTGTGATTTGCTAGACCCCGGGACCCACATCTTTTAAGCAGCAGAGGAGCGCCAGGATCCTGGGAGCTAAGAAGTAAGTGAGGTTTTCTGAGGACCTTTTGTAATTGTGTAGACGGCGCTGATGAAAATATTCTGCATCTGCACTGACCAGTATCATAGCCACCAGCCAGATGTGGCTTTGGGCACTTGAGATGTGGCTAGTGCAGCTGAGGAACCGAATTTTAATTTTTAATCTTAATTAACAATTTTAAATAGCCACCTGTAGCTAGTGGCTACTGGATTGGACAGTGCATGTCTAAACCTAGTGTGGGGGAGGAAAACCTAGCTTGCAGTAAAAATGCACATTCTATAGTTTGTGGATTCAGTTTGTCTTGTGTTTTTCCCCACGTCAAATCTGTGTTCATAATGAATTTGATGAACTTAGGAAGGGAGATAAAAATACCTGTAAGAAATCTTTGTGTTTTCATTAACTGTGGTACTAGTTTATTATTTTGTATAATGAACGTGCTAAGTTTTTCCATGGTTAATATGAAAGAAAAGATTCCTATTAACTTGAACCCCTCAGGTGAATCCATTCATTTAGCATAACACTTGTGTTTTTGTTTTGTTTTGTTTGTTTGAGACGGGGTCTCACCATGCAGCACTGGCTGGCCTGGAACTTACTATGTAGACCAGGCTAGCCTCCAACTTACAGAGCTCCACCTGCCTCTGCCTCCCTCCTGAGTGCTGGAATTAAAGGCACGCCTGACTTAAATAACACTTATTAAAAGTCTGCCTTGTACCAGCTGTGTAGTAGTTTAGGCATACAGACATGGAAAACAGAACCAGCTGTTTAAAAGAGGAAATAGATAAGCATAGCAACACAATACAGGGTAATAAGGAAAAAAAAATTTTTATTTTGAGGAAGGGTCCCTGTGTAGTCCAGGCTGACCTGGAACTCCCTAGGCTAGCCTCCAATTTGCAGTTTGCCTGCCTCTGCCTCCTGAGTGCTGGGATTACAGGCCTATGCCACTGCACACTTGGTTTAGTAAGTTTTGTTTATTTGAGACAGGGTTTTACTTCATAGCCTACCCTGGCTAGGGCTTACTATGTAGCTCAGACTTGAATTTGTATGGTTGTCCTCCCCTAGGCCTTCTGAGTGCCGGGTTTACAGGCATGAGCTACTACACCTGGCTAGTAAATGCTTTTATAATGGAATTTAATACCGTTTTGGGGAAGGGGAGTGATAATTTGGAAGGAACATGCTGCCAGAACAGGTCACTCCTAAGTAGAGGCTTGAAAATCAAAGAATAACAATAAAAAATTGAAATTAAAAATAATTCAAATTAGCAGCTGGAGAGATGACTTACCAATTAAGAGCACTGACTGCTCTTGCAGAGGACTGCTTTTGCTTCAGTTCCCAGCATCCACATTTGAAACTCCAGTTCCAAGGGATCCAATGCCCTCTTCTGGCCTCAGTGGGCATTGCACACATGGATGCACTTACATGCAGACAAAATACTCATCCGCATAAAAAAAATTTTAAGGAACAATTAAAAAACCCTCCTGCAGCCTAGATATCAAGGTAGCAAATCTCCTAAACGTTTGCAGAAACATCCCTAGAGAAGTTAGCAGGAACCAGGTCATGAAAGCATTATGTCATACTAAGGTATTGGAATTTTATCCTGGAGGGGAAAGGTCAACTCTAGGAAGGATGGATTGGAAAAGTGTTTGGATATTGGTTCCAAGACTATTAACAGTAACTTAAGAAAGAAAAGAAGAACATGTGGTATGTGATAGTAAATATATTTGGGAATGTTTATGATGATTGGAGGTTTCTGTCTTTGCAATCAGATGGATGTTGAAGTCATAACAAACTGGGAAGTTTTGTATGAGGGGCAACATTGGGAACAAACACATACAGATCTAGACCACATATGAAGAGTTGATCTGAAATATAAAATTGAGAATTACCTACTAAGTAAATTGGAAACATGCTGTTTTCTTCCACAAGATGAGGGTATTCATGAGATCTAGGGACTATGGTAAAAGCAGTGTTTCTTAGTGTGTACTGGTTCACCTAGGGACAATTGTTAAACAATATGAAGGTGAATGGGCTCCCCATCCATTAATCAGGTTAGAATCATTCCCTCATTTTAAATTATCTTCTTAGGAGATTGCAAAGTTTGAAAGTTTGAAAGCCAATGGTGAGACATGAGCCCAGGAAAGAGAATAAAACCATGGAAGATACTAGTCATTAAAGACAGGTAGAATTGAAAAGAATAAAGGATGCTGAGATCATCCAAAAATACTTTCTTTAAATGAAATCTAAATATTTGCATTTAGAAGAATAAACTAGAGGCTTTAAAAATTCTTGTTAATGGCCAAGGGTGAGGGGACTGGTCTAGAGCGCTCTTGAGGTTAGAGGGCCTCTGGGCTTGGATTCATGGG